ATTAATTTTTAACACATAAAACTCTGTAATTGTATAGCACACATCTATCAAAGCTACGAAACACTAATTCCAGCTAGAAGACAAAAATATACTAGACTAAGAGGCACCTCTTTGCACTGTGTACAGTTTTTATAAATAGTGCAGCATGGACTGGAACAAAAATGTTGATCGTAAGCTTCTTCATCTTATTAGGAACGAGCTCTGCCCTGGGGCCCACATCCCCCTTTAGCCTTCCCCACACAGTGGAGAGGCAGCTGCAGAACCACATTACAGCTGGATCCGGTCCTGCCCCAGCCCTGATTTCCACCTCCACTTTTACAGCCAACTGTACCATTCACATTGTGCAGACATATTGGAAAGAAGTGCTGAAGTAGAAATACCTGCATTTCAGTAATCTGAATTAGTCCCTTCATACAGGCCAACAAGAAGCCATTATGAGATGGAATGATTTTTGGTCACTGAAGGTACTGAACAGATTTTAAACAGTGAAGTGGCAATGAAATTGCTGGGGAGGGTGTGAAAACTTTGAGTTTTTTCTACAGAGTGTGATACATCTCCACAGTGACTGGTTTAGGTTTTGGACAACTGGAGTTTTTAAATATAAACATAAAAGTTATTTTCGAAGCTGTTCAGTTTGAATAAAGGTTAAAGGGTGCAATGGCTCTTTATTCTAAGATTTTCTAATAATTTTTCATCTGTAAACCAACAACAGACTCTAAGACAGCAGTCAGATGATTCCTGGAAAACTTTTCTTTGTATGTCTAGTAGCAATGACTGAATTATCCACTTTTTACCCTCACAAATCTAGCAGAAGTACTTTAAGCTCAGGAGGAACCTAGTAAATCAACAGGAAAAACCTTTAAGCTCTCAGTTTCCTCCAAAGCCTTGCAATTTTATATTAAAGTTTCAGTAGCTGCTCGAATTCACAAAACTTTTTAAAGGACCGTACTTCTCTGATGCTTAACTCTTCAAAAGCTTGTCATGTTCCATAGGGTGTGAGTTAAATAACATGATCTGGTATTTTCTAATAGTAGCAACAGTAACCACATGTAGCCTGAAAATTTGACTATTGATATAAATGAGGAAGGATAAAGCAAGGCATATACTTATTTCAAGACAAACAAATATAGAATCTCACAAGATCAAATTTTAAAACCTTGAGGCAAAAAGACAAAAAGGAAGACATGAATTTTCATATGAACCAGTAAAGACCCTGCTATGTATGGATATAGCACAACATTTAGCTGGTGATGGGTTTGTTTACTTTCCTCGTTCATCATGAGCTGATGACTGAATTCCAATGACTTCTAAATGATAATAGCTGAATTTTTTTTATCCTATTACTTCCGTTATTTAATTCAATTTAAATTCATTCACTTTCACAACCAAATAAAGCACAAAAATAACATTTTCTATGTTTCATATCGGTTCAATTTCTGCTTTTCTTTCTGTATTTCTTTTCCTCAGCAGAGAGGTTTAGTGACAAATAGGTTTTGGGTTCCCAAAAGGATTAACAGCACTTCCTACTGCTCCATTCTCCCCTGAAGCGTCACACTTTGCCTTTAGTGTTGTGAATTTTCTGATGACATCCCAAACAGAGATACAGGGTCATACAAAAAGAACAGGTAGCAGTAAAAAAAAGTAATCAGGAAATTCCTGGGAAATATTCCAGGAGGCATCAGAAGGAGAGATTGAGATAAAGAAAGAAAAAAAATAACAAAAATCTGAAACACAAGAGTATGCAGATAGATCATGTTAAAGAGCTACTCAGTTTCTCCGAACAAGTAATTCTTGATCTTTCCTGTGTTTTATACACTTTTTAAGTGTGACTTTAAATTGCTTTCAGCCATCTACTTCTAGTCTTACATTCAACCCTTTAACCCATATTACATTTTACTTCATTTCATTTAATATAATATCTTTCATATATCTCAATGCTATGCTATTTTAGCAGGGGCAGGATGGGAAAATCACAGACTGTAAGTTAACAAAGAAAGCCTGCATCCACTGGAATATCTGTAGTCTTTCTCATCCTCTTTTGTTGGCTTTTCTGTGAGCACATAGTGACACATTTTCAGTTACTGCAACCTATATAGATCTTAATTTATTTCCCTGTGCTGCCTAGAGTATAGTTATTTACTTTGATTAAGCTGTCTAGCTAAAAAAAACACCCCATCTATGCTTGGCATATTCAGTGAAGGACAGCAGAATCCCTACATCATACACTACTACGTACATACACTACAAAGAAAAGAAAACAGCAAACTTGAATCATGAACTTGGCATTACAGCTACAGACTTACAGCAACATATGGTAATTTCCCTCTAGTTCCCTTGCAGACGCTGACCAAAATAATCTATTGAAAGAGACATGTCCTGAGTTATAAGAATAGAAACCAAATGCTAGATCTCAGCTTTTTACATGGGTTCCTGTCTGTAAAGAGTTCATCCAGAAAAAGAAAATTTTCTTTTCTGAAAACAGGCACATTTTTGAACAAACATGTATTTTTTCCTTAGTGCCTAACTAAGACATAAGCTACCTTTGTAATTATTGTGTATGTACAAATAAAACTAACAGTGCCAGGCACAGTGCTGCAGGTGCTACTGCACTACAAACACATTACAATAATATGTAAAATATAAAGCCTCTCAAACAGACTGCTCAGACATGGACACAGCCACTTGTGCAGGTTTGCCTGCAAAAATATATATGCTAACAAAGGTGACTGAGGCTTCTGTGGTTTTCTGCTTCAGAGGTTTGGGGCATTTGTTGGAACAACTCTGGAATAAAAGAACAGATTTTGCATTTATGGTCTGGCAAGTGCTATTTAGATAAGCAGCTAAGACATCAAAGTCTCCTGCAGTGAAGCACCAGGGCATAGCAGCTTTAGTGAGACAGACCACAGTCAGACTTCATAAACGAGCAGAAAACCAGGCTCATCAGTGCACACAGAGCAACACTGTAGAGAAAAACTAGGCTAGTCCAGATGCAGTATAGATATCTCAGCTTGGCTCAGCGTGCAAGTTAATAAGCCTCAGTTCTCAGCAGAGCTTACCAGGTCAATACTGATCCAGGAGTAATTTAGCTTTGCTGCGGTTCAAACCAGTAAGTTGCTTAGGACTCTGTGCAAGCCCTTTACGTGTACACTGATGTGGCAGGAGGGCCTATCTAAAAAAGGCCTAGAATCCAATCATGTATAATTAATTCCTTTTTGCTAGCTTTAATATAATTGCTTCAATAACTGCTTTAATATAGTGCACTATCCTATCTTATGCTATACTACTGTGTAGTAAATAATTCTGATTAAGATCTTTTGTCTGATCATTTGTAATAATAAATGATTCATTTTATATAAATACTCTCATTTTGCCAATCATTAATACCTGCAGGACAAAGTGGTTCAATCATTCCTCTGTAATTCCTTACATTTAAACTGTTGACACAATCCAAGGCTAAGATTGGCTTCAGCTGCACCTAGACTTCTCTCTGAGAAGGAGATTAAAAAGCAAGGGCGTCTTTCTGCATCTCATGATTTAATGGCAGGGCTTCTTTAATAAATTTTTTATAAGCCTTCTACACCCGTGATAACCAGAATTAACCTGAAGTTGCTGGCTTGGACTTCTTGCAGCACTGCTCCCCACATTTTGATTTCCTTGCCTACCTCAAGCAAAGCAAGCTTGGATCTACCCCTACACATCCAATTGTAGCTTTTCATAAAATGCGTATTCAGGGAGCTGACCAAAAGCTCTTGACAACAAAGTCATTCTGTGTTTGGTCTGGGAAAAAAAACTAATTCAGGTCAGAGAAGGTGAGAGATGCATTGAAAACCAGAACAGTTCCAACCTGACCTTGCCCAACAGCAAGACCACTGGTAACAGTGGTCCATATCCTTTCAGTCTTTTGTTTTTTCTGGCAACAGTACCAATTAGTACTTTACATGGTTGCTGCCCTCCAGAATAAGATCATTCATGCTAACATTCAAGTTTTCCCTTCCTTTTCTGCTACCTTACCCCTTCACACTGAGAGCATAATGACAAAATGTAGAATTTAGCCTTAACTGGATCTCTGCAATGTTATCCCCTGAATTAGCTCCCCTGTGAATAATTATCACTGCCTAGAGGCTGACAAATTGCTTCCCTCTACTTCATGATTGTCAGGAATTTCAAATTATATGCTGAGCATGGGGAGGCTGGGGCGGGGGGGGAAGGAGGGGGGATGAAAATGAAAGCCTAGAGAAGCATAATCATGAAGTTTATTAAAATAGTTGGCACAGAGTTCCAAAGTCTCCACGAGTCCCAAAAGGTGTAAGAACTTTGTTGAGGCAACTGGGCAACACCCAGTCTTTCACCCAGCAAAGACTACGGCAATAGACTTGTACAGTCAAAGCAAAACTGCAACCACTGCTCACAGTTAGGCAGTTCACATGTTATTAACTACCCCATTTAAGATATGTACACCAACTTGTTTACTATCTCATCCGCATGTTTGATCTTGCATGGTTTCTTTGCAGCATAGACTGATAGAAGAGGAAACATATGCAAGGCAATAGTAGCAGATTGTTATGCATTTAGGAAAGTACATAACATTCTTGTATTGTAAGAAAAAGGTCTTGGTGAAACAGTGCTCTTTCTGAGAACAATCATTCCCTGTCTGGGCAAGACCTCACACAGAAACACATAGTGTCATTATACCACAATATCCATCTCAGATATGGAAAGACCTGACAACTGGGAAGAAATTTTATCTCATAAACCCAAATCACTATAAAGGTATAATGCTCTGAAAATTACTTGAAGCAGTCAGATTAAGCAACAGGGCAAATAGAGCTTTTATCCAATTTTCACATTAATGCTGCTGTGCTTGTAAGATTGATGCATTTCTCAGTTCATTTCAATGCAGCTTCTCAAACTTCTTTCCCATCTTGCTGAACAACAACACGTGTCAGGCATAGACAAGGTAGCTGCCGACATATTCCCAGAGGAAAGCTTTTCCTGCTTACCTGACATACAGTGACCTCTTCTGATTAGTCCTCAGGGATCCAGACCCAGAACTCATGCTGTGATTCATCATCTGCTCACGCAGGTCATGGATTTTTGCCTCAAATCGAGCGTACTCTAAGGAGATAAGAAACACCAAGAGAATAAAGATATTTTAGTTTTCTTGACCTATATAATCATTAGGGCTGCTAAATGCAAATTAATAACAAATTAATGAATGTAAGGCATGTCCTGAAAATGGAGGTCTAACAGGATCTTGCATTAAAGTATTATCTTAGCTAAATATATGTCCTCCTTATTGTGGTACCTGAACATTTCAGCACTGACTAGGTGAGGAGGTCAGATTGCTAGAGCCACTGAACTGCTGTTTCAGGAAAGGAAAGGAGGCTCTAAGTGTGTTACCAAATATCTTTCAGTCTGTGGAAAGGATGTTGAGAGCAGTTTTCCACTGTGTCATTCCTCCTTCCAAACAATCTAATACCGTGTTAGGGGCAGTGGGGTGGTGCACCCAAATTACTAATGAGTCAACCATTTACTGTAAAATCCCATCAAACTGAAGGAGATATCTCCAAGTCTAGTTATCCCCACAGCAACTGTCAAATAATTATATGAGCAATTAGCTACTCTATTTACTCTGCCCACTGAGTAAACCACTGAGGTTTGAGCTCTGTTTCTTTAAATAGGTGGCGACATAACTTGGTCTCAGTTTAGGTGATCCCCAAAATGCCAAATCCAAGCTGCATAAGGATAGCACAAAACTACCTCCCTCATCTTGCTCTGCTCCATAGCTCTGCTGGCAGCACTGTAAAATGTTGTGACATGCTGACCAGCAACATGGGATCAGCACTGGAGCAAAAATTCAGCTAGAGGTGTATCATTTGTTAAGGCTCCTGCTGACAGGACACAGCCCTCATACAGCCTGGTCAATGGTCCCTTCTTCTGGCATGTTCCCCTTGCTCATTGTGTGACCTAATGGGCTGAATTTTGGTTTGCAAGAGGAAAGGCTGAAGTTTTGGAGACAAACTCTAATTCCTTGTAACTGACAATGTAGAGGCAATGCTCCAAACACACAGAGAGTCATATTTCAACCTAAACTTAGGAAATCCACTGATGTGAGCTAGAAGACAAACTCGAGAGGGTGTACACAATACATTTCAATGAGTTGGTGACACCTTGAAGAGTAAGATGTTGCAGACTGATGCCACCAAAGAGGAGATGTTTCCTGCACCTCAATGTTTTATTCCACTGATGCCTTCAAAAGAAGGATCCCTTCCGCCACAGAAAGAGCTAGAGCATGAGTAAAACAGCTATACAAGGTTTCCTCCCTTAAAGGCTGGAGGTACATCCCACCAGATCACACCACCTCTCAGTTTAAGCAAACAAATCTTTACAGTGCATTTATAACCCATTGGACTGCATCCTGTTAGTTGCTGTTCGAGCTACAAGAGAACACTGTAAGACCGCAGTATTCAGATTTTCTCCTAGCAGAAATCTCAGCATTACTTTTGTTTGATCATTTGCTGTTCCCACTGGCTCAGTTCCCAGAATGTCTAGTTGCTTTGCAATAACTAATTCATTTTATTCAATGCTCTTTAACTTTTCATTGGTTAAAAACACCAGACCTTTGCAAGGTCCCACATTTTGCATAGGCACTAGCTACCTTCAAGCCGGCTTAGCAGAGTGATTCGATTTGGGGATTTGTGTTTGGGCTTTTCCCCTTCCTCTTCCTTGACATATTTTACCTCCCTTTACATATCTTCTATTGACCTTTCTTGGCATTACCCACTCAAGTGTGTTAAGTGATAGTGGCTACTTTGCTAGTCAGCTGGGAACCACTGCTGTGGTGTAAGAGACTTTTCAGTCTTCCCACATATCTATGACTTCACTGACTGCAACTGAAATTCTGTATGTCAGGAGAAGAGACACTCCTACACGTAGACAGTATGTTAGATTTATTCTGTTGCTTGTTTCTGCTCATTTCATTCACCTAGAGTACATCTTTAAACTTCTCAGAGATTTAAAAGCCCAAATCCTCAGTGGAACTAAGGTTCCCACAAACCTGTGTTGTTTTTTTAAGCAGAGTTTAGTTTTGTAATGTTTGTCCCAGTGCAGGATTTAAGTTTGCTCTATGTGAGTCATATTTGTTCTGATACCCTGCTTTAGAATTTATTTAGTAAATAATCTTCTTCTGAGCAAGGCTTTGTTTAGCTTATATTTCATTATAACAAATCTAACATTTCTTCTTGGCAAATAGGAAAGGTGATCTTAAGTACCAAAAGCTTGTGTTTCTCTTCCTCATACAGCATCAGTCCTATGTATATAGACAGAATATTACAATTTTAAGGGTTGTTACTAGGTCTCTTTCATTTATGGTGGCTACACTCTAAAAACCAGTAAACATACAGTGTAACTCAGCTTTTTTGTTGTTTTACATCTGTGCAAAGCTAAAGGTATGAATGATCTACAGTAGAGCAACTTCCCCTTTAATAAACAACCACATCCCAGGCTGACTCTGTATGTGAGATGTGGGAGTAACTCCCAGATTTAGACACCAATCTGGAGACTGAGAAATGAGGACTGGAAATCTGACTCTCTCTAGCACAGCATCCAACTATTTGCAACATCAGCTCATGAGATGAGCTCAAATGATTACAGTTTGGTCAGATGATGATATTATCACCTGTGTTCTGATGTCAGACCACACTTGTATTTAACTGATTTTAACACTGTAAATTTATTCTTAATTCTTAATTCAGTAATCTCTCTCTTTTTGGAAGACCTCTTGAAACTACAACACATCTTAAAATTGTCTAATATGAGTGTGATGGAAGTTCAGGGTTCAAGCTCCTGCTCCATGTTTGATATCAAAAAATATTGAAGTACTAATGGTATTCTGTTCCTTCGTGTTCTTGAGATGTTTTTTTCCTTTGGATTGAAATACATAGATAATTTGAAAATAACCAATTTTATGGGGCTATATTTTTCCCCAGTACCTTCTTCACACTTATGCATGAAAAATATTGAAATGTAAACTCATCTCTTCCTCCTGACAAATGCCTGGACCAGAAACTGGAATGGCCATCAATACAGCCAGTATTTAACTGAGCTCAGTTCAACTTCTTTAAACTCAGCCCTCCTAGTTCTATTGATTCCGAGATAGTATAGTGACAGCTGCATTTGAAATGTGAACAGAAAAAGGAACAGTGATACTCTGCCATCAGAGTAGTTCTGCCTACTGGGAAAAAAGTCCTTTTTCTTGACACTTCTTTGTGAGTGTGGTTGTTCCAGGGGAGCTGATTTCTAATAGCTTTGCATTTGCTAGGTGTGAATAAGGGCAGTTCTAAAGTGCAGAAAAACATTTAATGCTTCCTTCGAATTCAGCACTGGACATGAATAACACACTTGTAAGGCTCCTACACAATTAAAAGGACACTAAAGTTGTGGCATGATGACAAAAAATACAGTTAAAGCTGATTCACTAATTTCATGCTCTTTCAAAAAAAGGGAGAACAAAGAACATGTTGCTGCTGGAATGCTTAATTAGAAAAACTTCCCAAATTTGACTTACTAAATCTGCGAAGATCCTACCCATTGCCCGATTCACTAATGATCTGGTAGCTGAAGAAACTGATAAAGCTATGCTAGACTAAAAGGGCAAATGGGTGACTAGACTGTAACCTGTATTATCGCTGTGGTCAGACCAGAAGATATAATGGTTTGTGCTGGCCTGTGGCACTGGGGTTGTTGCTGTAAGAAATAGGGCAAATGGGATGGAGGGAAGTGTTTATTAATACCCCACTTTAGGGCTGGCTCAGAGCTCATGGCAGTGCAGGTAGACCTGAAATTGGCTGTCCCAAAGACACAGACCTAACTCACTGTCCCTGGAGAGGTGAAGCTAGTGACATCGAATGTGGAAGACAAGATTGCTGCTTCAAGGAATGGCTCCATTACAGGGACAGCAAGACCAACTTCCAGGGCTCTGGCACTGGCATGCTGGGCCCTGCATACTGCCTCAAGCAAATCCCCATTTTTCCAGGAGTCTGTTTTCTAACGCTGGCTCTGCTCAACTCCCTGTTCAGTCAGGAGAGCGAGAAAAGCCAGCTTGAATTGCTACAATGTGAATTTTCCCCCAAAGACAGCCAAGACCAAAACAGTCTATTTATTAAATACAGACACCTATTTGAATAACTGATGTTTGTCTGCTTCATACCGGACTCCTTAGACTGAATATATGGACAGAGGGCTGGTTCTTTTCCTTCTGTTCCAACACCTTATCAAGTGCTATAACTAGGACTCATACATATTCTAACCTTCAAATATCAATTGTTTGCCTTTCCAAAGCACTTGGACATGTTGAAAGGACAGGACAGATCTTAGGCAGTAAACTTCAAATACCCTGAACCTTCTCCTTAGCTCACATACTGAGAAATCAAAGCAAGGCAAATGGACAGCCCCATTAAAAAAAAAAAATCTAAATTCACAAAACCAAAGAGTAATAAACCTCAACTTCATGTTTAGCTGCTCAAGATCAAAACTACGATCTACAAAATCTTGTCTAATCCCCTTGGGCATCTGAGAGGATGCAGTCACCAACATCTGCACTGCTGAAGTGATTTAGACACCTAAAATCCTGCCAACCCCTCTAAAAACTGTGCAAGTGGGTGCCTATATGGTAAGGAGTACTTTTCTTATTAATATAAGCAGTATATTGAAATTTTAAATTAAAATTCTCCAAGTGAGTTCAGAAATGGTGTAAAAGGCTATGATACTTGAGCATACAAGAAAACTCCTGGAAGTCTCAGATGTATTTGAAAGACTAAAACTGAATGCAAAAAAGCAAACTACAAAATTAAATAATTCTAAATCTAAACCAAGCAAAGACAGAGATATTATATCTGATGACTTGATGCTACTTTTTGGTCATAGCAATAAAGAATAGCTATGATAAATGAATAAATATGCTGCAGCTTTTCTATGAGAAAAGATGGCAGAGTTTTATAAAGCTACATTACTGTTATTTTTCACTTTTATGTTTATAACAAAGATTGCAGTATTGATTGAATTTAGAGAACACGGTAACAGAAAAGCACTGATCCTACAAGTAAAGCATAGTTAAA